CTCTGCGAGTGCAACTGATGTATTCGCTTTTTGCTGCACTTTAGGGGGTGTCGGGAATCATGAGTCGAGGACGACTCCTAGTACACACTCCTTCCCTTCTACAAGGATAAGGCAAAAAGCTTTCACCCGATTTTTCTTCCTTTTCAATGGGGCGAACAACCCTCAACCCTAAACCCTAAACCCTAAACCCTAAACCCTAAACCCTAAACCCTAAACCCTAAACCTTAGAACGCAATTGAGACGGATACCGCGGTGCCACCCAGTCAGCCTGCCAACCGAAGGCTTGCTTGCCTTGTGCCAGCGCGAGAGTCGAACCTCTTGATCTTGTTAGCATTTGCTACCGTAAACTACTACTTGCTTAAGAACCCCCCAAAAAAAGATAAAGAAATGTTCCTCCTTTTTCAGGGGAATATAGGGTTTTTTGAAATTATGATTTTGATTATCAAACAACAACATATTTATGAAAATTCTTTTGGGGTTCTTAAGCAAATAGTAGCAAGAGGACTCCCATGTGTGGGAGCCGGCATCCACGAAAAGGCTTTCTGGGGGGTTTAGGGTTTAGGGCTTTAGGGCTAGTGCACTGCAGCCCCTCAAAAAAAGGGGATTGAAGGGTTAAGGGGTTAAGGGTGTTTTAGCCTTGTGCTTCTGTACCGCAACAACCTCAGACCCTTAGCCTTCATGATTTTTTGAATGGCTTTGCGAGTAAGGTCTCTTTTGTAAGCCAAACTTCCGGCAATTGCGTGTCTGGCTCGAGAAACTCCACCCCCCCGGTCTGTTTCCTGCCCGCTCCCTGGCAGATTTTGGGGCTGACGGTCTAGCAAGCGGATAGGGGGCTGAAGCTGTACTTGGAGGTTCATGGCACTTCTTAACCAATTGGTAACTGTACTTACAACCCAAGTTATACCCGTATTAGGGCACTTAAGGGGCTTATAAGTGGTTTCTAAGTGCAGTTACAAGTACCCTGAACCTCCAAGTAGCCCTAAACCCGAAACCTGCATTCCTGGGGGGTTAGGGTGTTAGAGTTTTAGGGTTTAGGGTTTAGGGTTTAAGGTTTAGGGTTTGGGGGGGGGGGGGTGGCTCAAAATGGTATAGGCCTCGGCGACTCGAGTGGTTCATGGGATTGGCTTTCTTAGAGGAGTTTTCATAAATCGTCAAGGGACACAATATGGAACGTTACAATACTTATAACCCAACTTAGGGCACTATGGGCGTTTGTAGCTCTAACCTCCAACTTATTTCCCTAAACCCTAAACCCTGAACCCTGAACCCTAAACCCTAAACCCTAAACCCTAAACCCTGGCGGGTTGGCCCTGGCAGCTTCCCAGAAATGTCGGAGGTTTCCTGCCCCCGACATGCGCCTCCTGTTGGGGTTTCGGGCTTTGCTTGTGTGAGCTTGACGACCTAAACCCTAAACCCTAAACCCTAAACCCTAAACCCTAAACCCGCATGGGAGAAGAGGGGAGGGGGGGGGGGGTAAGGGAGGAGGGGGGGGCCTTCCTGTAGCAAAGCCAAGTTTACCAGTCAACATGCGGTTCTGTCCCCTTAGCCGTCAGCATCAGCCGGGTTTAGGGCTTAAAGGGTCCAAAGACCTAAACCCTAAACCCTAAACCCTAAACCCTAAACCCTAAACCCTAAACCCTAAACCCTAAACCCTAAACCCTAAACCCTAAGGGGCTTGAGGTTCAGGGTTTAGAGAACCGAAGGCTTGGCTTAAGGAGCGTATAAGGCTTGGGGTGCAGGGTTTAGGGCTTAAGGAGCGTATAAGGCTTGGGGTTCAGGGTTTAGGGCTTAAGGAGCGTATAAGGCTTGGGGTTCAGGGTTTAGGGCTTAAGGAGCGTATAAGGCTTGGGGTTCAGGGTTTAGGGCTTGAGGAACGTATAAGGCTTGGGGTTCAGGGTTTAGGGCTTGAGGAACGTATAAGGCTTGGGGTTCAGGGTTTATGGCTTAAGGAGCCTATAAGGCTTGGGGTTCAGGGTTTGGGGCTTATAAGGAACCTGAATAGTTTTTTTTTTGGGTGTTGGGAATGGAATGCCGGACTGCGCATGGATCTCATCCTCGTGATACGCTACCTTGGTTTCAGGACGCCTCGTACCTAGTAGCCCTAAACCCTAAAACCCTATAGTATCCTTCCAATTCCCCTTTTTAAGTTAGGATGCCTTCTAAACACTCGTTCACCCAGCAAGTGCAGCCTCTTTCTCTTCGGCTAACTGGGGCCCAACCCTTCTTTGTTCAGGCAGGAAGCCATCCAGAGTCTTTGTCACCCTGAACCCTGAACCCTGAACCCTAAACCCTAAACCCTAAACCCTAAACCCTAAACCCTAAACCCTAAACCCTAAACCTAAAGTCTACTCTGAGTGGGGACACTGAGGCTTCTCCCATCATGGAGGAGGGCCTTCCACCCAAGAAGCCCTCCCTGGGCTTGCAAGACTCGGACTATTCTTGGGTCGAGGACCTCATTCGGTTTAGGCTTTCGGGTTTAGGTTTAGGGTTTTGGGTTTTGGGTTTAGGGTTTAGGGTTTAGGGTTTAGGCTTTCGGGTTGAGGGTTTAGGGTTTAGGGTCCTAGGAATGACCCAAGAGTGGTAGAGGGTACTATTTGGGGGCTCTGTACTTTTGGGGATCCTTTCAAAGGGTCTGGGTGAACCCTCAGCCCTGATTGTTTCCGAGCAAGCACAGCAAAGCTGTTTGCAGGAGTCAGGAATGAGGCCAAAAACTACATCTTTATATTTGTCCTCAACCCTAAGCCACCCTACAATGGAGATCGTCACGCTGCGAAGAGGGGATGTTAACGCCAAGGCGTCCCCCTCCCACCCCCACCCCGCCAGCAATGCAGAGTCTGCCTTTGTCACTATGGAAGGGTGCGAAGACGAAACCTTCATGTCTCGCAACCCAGTGCCACCAGAAGGTTATCAAGGCCCACGAGAGCATGCCAAAGCAAAGCTCATAGGCAGCCGGGCAGCGCAGGGAGGTCCATAACGGGTCTTTGGTCCACTTCGGCGCCTGGGATCTGAAATTTTCCAGAGTGAGTGAGAAACAAAATCGGGCGCTTCTGTGGGTACGCCTGCCTGATCTGCTCCATCGCAGCAGCCCTCGAGAAGTCACCACAAACACCTGCAAGCCCCTTCCTAACCCTAAACCCTAAACCCTAAACCCTAATAAAACCCTAAGCCCTAAACCCTAAACCCTAAGCCCTAAACCCCAAAACTAGGGTTTAGGATTCTAAGCCGGGCCCTACGAGTCCATGAACCCTGAAACCAAACCAGGCCGAGTATTGAGCGACCCTTTGGGCTCAGGGTCTAGGGTTGAAAAATGCAGGAGTTTAGGGTTTAGGGTTTAGGGTTTAGGGTTTAGGGTTTAGGGCTCAGGGACCCTAAACTAAACCCACAGATTTTGCTGCTGGGCTCATACGTAAGTGAGTATGGGCCGATAGGGTTCGGGTGCCGTGTGACACAGCGCGTCTCCCTAAACCCTAAACTCTAAACCCATGTCGCTCGAGTCCAGGATGATGATGCCCCTGCAGAAGCCAAAAAATCGCTCAAGATCGCAATTGTGTCCAGGCATGACCTTGGGATATTAAAGGGACCTTGTTGGGTTCAAGAGGATCTGGTTCAAGAATACCTGAACCCAAAACCTTAAACCCTAAAGCTTAGGTTTACCCTAAACCCTAAACCCTAAACCCTAAACCCTAAAAGAGAAACCAACCGAGGTGTGCACCCCGCATTCGGGACACATGCTCCCATGCTTGCACATCGCTACTGCGCTGGTCAAGTCCGGCCACAAAGTCAGGGTGCTGACCCCCGACTACGCGGCAGCTCGGTTTAGGGTTTAGGGTTTAGGGTTTAGGGTTTAGGGTTTAGGGTTTAGGGTTTAGGGTTTAGGGTTCAGGGTTCAGGGTTCAGGGTTTAGGGTTTAGGGTTTAGGGTTTTTAGGGAGGCCCAGAGATACAGGGCATCCTGACTGGTCTTTTGTTCCCCGAGCTGAAAAATGAGGGGCCCCTAAACCCTAAACCCTAAACCCTAAACCTCTCTTTCATATATAATTTAAATGTGTTTTTTATACTGGGCAAGGTCATTTTTTTTACTGGGCAAGGTCATTACTGGGCAAGGTCATTTTTTTACTAGGCAAGGTCATTACTGGGCAAGGTCATTTGTTTTTTGGGCAAGGTCATTTTTTTACTGGGCAAGGTCCTTTTTTTACTGAGCAAGGTCATTTTTTATTGGGCAAGGTCATCTTTTACTGGGCAAGGTCTTTTTTACTGGGCAAGGTCATTTTTTTACTGGGCAAGGTCATTTGGTTTTTGGGCAAGGTCATTTTTTTACTGGGCAAGGTCGTTCCATAAGTGAAATATTTTCTTAATGTTGTGGGATTCTTTGGGCGGGTGGGTATTTTTCTGGAGTAATTTCTTGACTAGTGAATGCTTGGACTTGAGATGCTAAACCCTAAACCCTAAACCCTAAACCCTAAACCCTAAACCCTAAACCCTAAACCCCAAACCCTAAACCCTAAACCCTAAACCCTAAACCCTAAACCCTAACTTCCCGCAGCCTTTGAAGCAAAGAAGTCGTCAGGGCCCGGCTCAGTCTCCATCTTACAGCTTTTTTGAGGTTTTTAGGGTTTAGGCTTTAGGGTTTAGGGTCTTTTTTGAGGTTCAGGGTTTCGGGGTTCGGGTAGTTGCGAGGGCCCCTAGTATGGACCCATAGTTTGTGGAAACCTTACAGACCCGTTCAGGGTTTAGGGTTTAGGGTTTACGGTTTAGGGTTTAGGGGTTGCCGGGCCCAGGTCGGCTTTCGATTATGCGGGCGGAGGGGAAAGAGGCGGTTTGAGTTAGGGCTTCTGAGAGTTTATGGGGTTTAGGGTTACGGGTTGGGGCTTGAGGGTTTTAGGGTTCAGGATTGGCTTCTTCATTCGGGTACCCTGGTAAAGGCTAAGTCAGGATGGAATGAGTTGGGAGCTTGGGCGGGGGGGGGGACACCAGCCAGCAAGAAGAGCAATCATCTCCGTAATGCAAATGAACATGCAATTCCCAGTAGGAAGTCTTTGGCGAATCCAGCAACCGCAAGAACCCAAAGACAACTGTCTGAAGCCATCATCAAAAACACGTGTGGTGCTATTTCGCGTCAGCATCCGTAGCCTTCTCTTCCTTATATCTACCCCCCTTTCTCACCAAGTGACTTCAACCCTAAACCCCATGAGCCAGAAACCCCAAACCTCAAACTTCATAGCGAGGTCAGCGAGTTTGAGAAGAAGGTGACCCAAACTGGTGCCACTATTGTGGGCTTGGACATGGGCGGCAATACCGCCGACGACGTCGACAAGACGGCCAAGGTGCCTATTTTTTTTGTTTCCTTTGTTCCCTAAACCCTAAACCCTCTAAACCCTAAACCCCCTAATCCCTAAACCAGCTTGGGGTTAGGGCTTTGCAGTTTATAAGGCGTTTAGGGCGAGAGACTCGAGACACTCGGACCCTCAACCCTCTAAACCCCTACATGTTGTAGGTTGCGTGAATGCCCAAAGCTGTTACCTTGCACCCTAAACCCTAAGCCCTAAACCCTAAACACTAAACCCTAAACCCCAATCCCTAAACCCTAAACCTGCTGCTCTGTTTCCCGGAGCGGGTGGCAAAAAGACCCCAAACTCGGGAAGGCGACTAGGCCGTATGCATCAGAGGCCCTACTTGCTTGTTCATGGGTACCTGTAGCCCCCAGTTCTAGGTCTACTTAGAACCTACTTAGGGGACTTATAGGGGGGCCTAGAGGTACAGTCCGAACTGTTGTAAGTGCCTTGAGCCTCTAAGTAGGAACCCTATAAACCCTGAGCCTCAGGAACTTCTCTGCTTCAAGAGTTCTTGGCTTGAGCGTAAAGAAGCTGACCCTGCACGGCACATCACAGATACAGCTTAGGAAGGGTTTAGGGTTTCATCGGGGCACCTAAATATGCTGAAAAGCTCGAACCTTCATGAGCCCCCTAAACCCTAAAGCCCTAAACCCTAAAACCCTAAACCCTAAACCCTAAACCCTGTTCTGGGAGGCGAAGAAGAAGATCATCTTTCTCTTGCTGCAGGAGCTGATGTCACCGCCACTGGAGAGGGAGCTGACCAAAGACAAGCCAGACGCGGTAGCCGGGCTCAACATCTCAGCACGCTGACAGACAGATCTTCAGTCCTAACTACCCATGATATACCTTATAGAGTCCCTATATACCTAAGTAGCCTCTGAATCCGATAAACCCCTGACCCTATAGATCCTCAACCCCTCAAAACCCTAAACCCTAAACCCTAAAGCCGTCCCCAAGGTTCTTACAGATTTCGCCACCTTGGCAGGGTGCAGCGTGGCCGACAAGCTGGACCTGCCATTGCCTCTCTCCCCCCTTGGGATTTTTTGTATTTTTGTTTATACAAAACCCAAGAGGATATTAAACATATTCTTTTTTATATAAAACCCAAGAGGGTATTTAAAATACATTTCTTCATTAGGGTTCTAAGGGGAGTATAGTTGCTGAGAAGTCCTGATTGGGGTTTAGGGTGTTTAGGGTTTAGGCTGTTTAGGGTTTTTGGGGTGTTTAGGTTTTTTGGGGTTGAGGGTCCTTACCACCCGAATTCCTACCATGCTCTCTAACTCTTTTAACAATTTTAGGCATTAGGTACCCTCATCAGCATTTTAAAACCAAAAAGGGCACCCTTTTTTTCCAAGGTTACTCCTGGGCCTAGTAAGGTACCAAATAAGTTCCCTCATTCCCTACCAGGAACCAGTCAGTCAAGCCAGCTCTTCAAGTCCCAATCCGCCAACTTGGGGCATTGCTTTTGGGGTTGGGATCCCGCAGCCCTACATGAGCCAAACTCCCTTGAGGATTTAGAGTTAAGGGTTTTAGGGGTTTTAGGGCTTAGGGTTTCAGGGTTTAGGGCTGGATGTGTCAGGGTTTCAGGGTTTAGGGTTCATGAAGTTTTCTGGGGCGCCCCACAAAAGAGGCCGCAGAAAGGCTCCAAAAAGGCTTCTGAAGCACCCGGCCAAAACTGCAGACCCCAGCCCCTAAACCCTAAACCCTAAATCCTACACCCTAAACCACCCCCCAAGCTCCTCAACCCCTACTCTCTCAAACCCTTAAACCCTTGAACCCCTGAAACATTGGAACCCCTACAGCAACCGAGCATTTACTTAAGAACCCCAAAAACACCGGCAACGATCCCCATATTACCCTTATAAGGACGATTGTGTTTTATTGTTTTTGTTGGGAGGGTTCCCAAGCAAAAAAGGTAGTAACTTGGGATGTTCCCCCTTCTACTAACAGTCCTCAAAAAGGGATTGTAGTACCTCCTCCTAGAATCCCTTTCAAGGACTGTTAGTACAAGGCTGAACATCCCAAGTAACTAATATTTGCTTAAGGACCCCAAAAGAATAAAACAAAAAGACATCATATTCTCTATATTACCCTGCATAGTAAGGACAAAACATCATATTCTCTAGATTACCCTTCATAATAAGGAATATCAGCTTTAACAAAAAAATCTTTCCGGGGTTCTTAAGCAATTGGTAGGCAACTGACTGCCAACCATTGCCAACGAGAGCTTACCGAGGTTGATTAACCTGCCTGGCCCCATCTCGCTCCTCCAGGCCTTCGTGGGCCTCTTGTCTTCAGGATATGGGGTCTTTAGGGTTTAGGGTTTAGGGTTTAGGGTTTAGGGTTTAGGGTTTAGGGTTTAGGGTTTAGGGTTTGGGTTCAGGGTAGCGGGTGTAGAGGGTTTAGGTTTCGGATCTTCCTCCTGATACTTATAGTCCTAAATAGGGATTATGATAGGGGGTACGATCATCCCTATTAAGGTCCATTAGTAAAAGGGGGAGCATCCCACTGTATGGGTGTTTAGGGTTAGAGTTTTGTGGCGTAAATGGGATGCCCTTTTTCGGAAACCAGCTGTGCCCCACAGTGCTGGAACCCTGATTGCAGATGCACAGGATGATCTGAGAGATTTTGGCCCTCCCAAAAAGTTACGTTGAGCGGTGCGTTGCGGACCTCGTTACCCGAAATAAGGCCACGCATCTATTTGTATGGAAGTGTGGTCTACTGGCGCATAAGGTATGCCCCATAATTAGCCCTTCCGCAGGCCCCCCCTTCCCCCCCCCCCCACCCAGGTGAGCTCCCAGTTTGGTGGGGATATCGGTTCTGGGTTGTATTAAGAGTAGCTAAAGGTATATGATTGACATGGAGGGTCATGTTCATCCTCATGAGGGTTATCGCCACAGCTACCCAGCATCATCACCCTAAACCCTAAACCCTAAACCCTAAACCCTAAACCCTAAACCCTAAACCCTGTAGCCACCCAGGATCCTTTCAGTGGTGTTCAGGGGCAGGGTTCTGAGTCATCGGGTGTACAGACATACCTAGGCATGCAGACACACATAGATGCATACATACATGTAAGGGTTTAGGGCTTAGGTCTGCAAAGGGCTCTCGAAGCCTTCAAGCCACGTAAACCCCTAAACAGTTTGGATTCCAGGTGAAGCCCAAACCCACTCTAAGCTTTATTTAGACCCCCTCTGCAGAGCCTCAGTCGAAGCCTGCAGAACCCTGAATCGAGTTCAGGGTTTAGGGGAAGGGTTTAGGGTTTAGGGTTTAGGGTTTAGGGTTTAGGGTTTAGGGTTTAGGGTTTAGGGGTTTAGGGGTTTAGGGTTTAGGGTTTAGGGTTTAGGGTTTAGGGTTTAGGGTTTAGGGTTTAGGGTTTAGGGTTTAGGCTCTAAAGCCCAAAATCCAGGTATGGTGGACACCTCCACAGCCGTCAACTTCCTCGGGCTGCACATTGCGCGGCAGCGCCTGAGCACGATGAGCACCTCCGCCTCAAAGCTTATACTGTTGGTTAGTAGGGTTTAGGGTTTAGGGTTTAGGGTTTAGGGTTTAATTAGGGTTTAGGGTTTAGGGTTTAGGGTTTAGGGTTTAGGGTTTAGGGTTTAGGGTTTAGGGTTTAGGGTTTAGGGTTTAGGGTTTAGGGTTTAGGGCTAGGGTTTAGCACCTCCGCCATAACGCCACCAACACAAGATCCTCCCATGCACGGCTTTGGGTTCTAGGGGGTTCAGGGGTTTAGGTGGGTGAAGATGGGTTTAGGATGGGTTTAGCTTAGGGTTGAATACCATGGTCGGGTTCATTCCTCAGGGTTCTACCCTTTAAATAAGGAAGATCCCGTAAACCATATTCAGGATCCCTATACATTTCACAGAATGGTCCTTAACTAAGGGGTATTGGGGCTCTCTGGGGGCTACTTGAAGGCTTCAGAATAGCAGTATGAATATAGGGACATATTTTGAGAAGCACAGAGACATGCAACATCTAAGTAGTACAGCATATGCAACCCTCTAAACCCTAAACCCAAAAACCCTAAGTCCTAAAAACACTAAACCCTAAACCCTAGACCCTAAACCCTTGGTTGCATCTGCCTCAATTCCCTTGTGTTTCCCCTAAATCTGGGTCCGAAACGAACCCTAAACCCTAAACCCTAAACCCTAAACCCTAAACCCTAAACCCTAAACCCTAAACCCTAAACCCTAAACCCTGGTTGTTGAGAGGGGAGGAGCCCTGCAACGACTGTGGGGGGCCGCCCTCTGGCCTGCCGGACCCTGCCCCGGCTTTACAGTAGGGTTTAGGGTTTGGGGTTTAGGGTTTAGGGTTTAGGGTTTAGGGTTTCGGGTTTCGGGTTTCGGGTTTAGGGTTTAGGGTTTAGGGTTTAGGGTTTAGGGTTTAGGGTTTAGGGTTTCGGGTTTCGGGTTTCGGGTTTCGGGTTTAGGGTTTAGGGTTTAGGGTTTAGGGTTTAGGGTTTAGGGTTTAGGGTTTAGGGTTTAGGGTTTAGGGTTTAGCCACAGCAACCTTTGCCCCTTCGTGTCCCTTTCCATGTATCCAAAGTGTCCCCTGGCTCTTGCAAGGGTTTAGGGAACCCTAAACTCTACACCCTAAACCCTAAACCCTAAACCCTAAACCCTCCAAAGCTCTTGCAAGGGTTCATTGGCTGGATGAACTTCAATCAGATGGGCCAGTGGGGCGCACGGCTTCCCAGCCGCAACTCACCAAGGGCTGGGGACGTCGGGTTTCAAGGTGCGTGGGGGAGGGTTTAGGGTTTAGGGTTTAGGGTTTAGGGTTTAGGGTCTAGGGTCTAGGGTCTAGGGTCTAGGGTTTGGGGTTTAGGGTTTAGGGTTTAGGGTATCCGCATCCAGCCCTAAAACCCTCTAGCGAGTTTCAGCCTGCAATCAGTGAATCCTGACTGCCAACTGCGAGCTCTCCACGCGCCCTCGGCCCGCTAAGTTCTCTCCGATGTGGACAGCAACCCCGACAAGCAGCGGTAGAAACATCAGTAACCTGAACCCTAAACCCTAAACCCTAAACCCTAAACCCTAAACCCTAAACCTGGCGATGCCAGGGTCCGAGCTTTCATCGCCAAGGGAGCCGTAGTCTTGGTGCAGACTGTTGCTGGGCTTGTTTAGGGTTTAGGGTTCAGGGTTTAGGGTTTAGGGTGAGGGTTTAGGGCGGGTTTACTTGGTAGCTGAGTGACCAAACAGGCTAAACCCCAAACCCTAAACCCTTTTTCTAGCATGGTTACTGGCATGGGCTACCAGGTTTAGGGTACCGGTTGAAAGCTCAGACTCCTAAACCCTATAAGCCCTAGTCTTTAGGGTTTCGGAAACTTGCATAGCCAAAAGATGAAGGTGGTGCACTTTCTGGGTTTCCTTTTCAGTGGAGAAGGTCCCCAAGAAGCCTTAGGCCCTGAGGCCCCTTCAGCTTCGTCAGCCCCACCCCCCACCCCCACCCCACCCCCCAACTTAATGAACAAACAAAGTAGGAAAACACTCCCCTACCTCCACATCCTAACATCCCTTAAGGACCCTGCACCTTCTATTTAGGGTTTAGGGTTTTGGGTTTAGGGGAACCTGACATGAGTTATGATATATGCTTTAGGAAAGGGATCTTGGAGCCATGAGGAATGCGCTCTTTAGGGTTTAGGGTTTACGATTGGCCTGGGCCGGCGATTCGCACGGCCCCTTTACATCACTATGTCATTGCTATCGCCCCACACCTCGCAGAATCCGTTTGACATATATATATATATAGACAGATATAGATATATATATATATATACATATACACACACATCCGTTTTTTCTTACTCGACTCTGCACTATCTACACGCGTGCTTCCAGAAACTTCCTCCTTCCCCCAGAAAGGTACCGCTGAGTCCCAGGTGTTGGAGGAGGGGAAAGGGCCCAACACAACACCAACAAAGGCCAGGCCCTAAACCCTAAACCCAAAACCCTAAACCCTAAACCCTAAACCCTAAACCCTAAACCCTAAACCCTAAACCCTAAGCTGACCTGGCCAGAGGCCCCGTGGTCCTTGGGGATGCTGCAGGAGGGGCCAGGAACCCCCTGGCCGGGGATGGGGCCCCTGTGAGGCAAAAACAAAACATTTCACAGGGTTTAGGGTTTAGGGTTTAGGGTTTAGGGTTTAGGGTTTAGGGTTTAGGGTAAGTTTGAATATTCATAAGGTACAGGAGGTATATTCATAGGTAGAGAAGGTTCATAAGGTAGAGAAGGTTTAGGGTTTAGGGATGCTTCAGAGGATTGCAGGCCGGCGTGGAGCTCGCACCCCCGGAGCCCTGAGCCCAAAACCCCAAACCCTAAACCCTAAACCCTAAACCCTAAACCCTAAACCCAGGTTTGGGGTCTGGACCAGCCGACCAGCTTGCCGCCAAATGTGGCGGCTTTGGGCGCAAGAAGAGTTTAGGGGTTCGGGGGCTTCGGGTTCAGGTACTGTAGGCGCGAATCGTGGGAAAAAGAACCCTCGCGTACGGCAGAACGTGTGAAGAACAGGCGGGGCCGACGAGGGCCCAGAACCCACGTGTTTGGCTAACCAAGACCTTGTGAGTCCAGAAGCGTTCGGCAAGTGAAAGGCCTAGAGGGACAAGGTTGCAGGAGGGGGGGGGGGGGCTTGGGGCTACGTTTCGCCGGCACGCTTTCACGACAACAGCCGAGCCAAAGCCAGTTCTAAGGCCTCTGCAGCACTGTACCTTAAAGTGTTGTGGCCTGTGAGTTACTCCATGCTTCGGCGACAAGGTTTTTCAGGGTTTAGGGTCCGGGCCTTAGAGTTTGGGAAAACCTGTGCGACTCCATGTTGTTTTATGGCAGCGACCCCCTTTACCCACCCCTAAAGCCTACATCGCCCTAAACCATGAGTAAACAAACCATGAGTGACGGTGAGTGTATGAGATGTCTTGGGAAGGGAGAACAAGCCAAGGAAGCCTCAAAACCAATGCAAAGTGCAAACCTGGGTGGCTCGGGTCGGAAGGGATTGAGAAGAGAAGAGTAAAACTAGGTCGCTCAGGTTTTACACTAGCGCATGTGTACGGAGGCCCAGGACGAAATCCAAACTCGGTGGTTCAAGCAGCTTTCCCGAACCACGGGAGTTTTTGCAAGCTTTTTACGGGAACACCATGGGCCAAGAGTTTTCAAGTTGCTTGGATGCGTAGGGGTACTGCAAGTTAGCTCTCAAGGTTGGGCATCCCTTTCCGGCCGAAAGTCGACCGCCCCCCTAGAGGGTTTAGGGTTTAGGGTTTAGGGTTTAGGGTTTAGGGTTTAGGGTTGTTGGGTTTAGGGTTAGGGTTTAGGGTTTAGGGTTTAGGGTGAGTTGTTCCCCCAAGGCCGAAACAAACTTGCCCTGTAGCACACCTGCTTTGGCAACTGTGAAGAAGACAGCTGCGTATCTACGAAGATACCTATCAAGAAGCATCAACGCCGGGCTCTGGCGACTTGCATCGTCAAGTCTACTTTGAGCCCCTCGCTGGCTTGATCAAACCCTAAACCCTAAACCCTAAACCGTAAACCACCCCAGACCCTAAGCCGGTGCGCAGGTGGTCACTGGACCTGTGCTGCCTCCGGCGCACGACTTGCGGAAGAAGCTGGCTGCCGATCACCCGGAGCTACACAACTTCCTGCGCAGCTGGCCATCACACCACTATATCCCCCTTGGGAATTCTCTTTTGTTCATATAAAACCCAAGAGGATATTGAAAATACTATTTTTCATTAAGGTTCTACGGGGGGGTATAGACCATTGTTATACACACACGTGTGATCGCAAAGTGAAGGCCCCTCAACTTTTACGCCTGCCTTCTGTCAATCTGCAATCTGTGTGCTTACTCGTGATTCCGTTTGGCCCAGCGCGACATGCAAGTTGGGGCTTGTTATGCATTTTTTTCACGCATTCCTGGCGCTCAAGTTTTCGACCTAAACCTCGAACCCCAAACGTTTAGCCGGTCTGGAGCCAAGGTCAGTCAGAGCCCGCTGGCGTGGTCTATGTCACTTGACTCTACTTGGGGTTTAGGGTTTTCAGGTAGCCGTCTTGGACAGAAGTGTTCCTCTTTCAGTGTGCTGGTGCCGATCTCAGTACATCCTCAAAACAAGGTAGTCGGGCTGTAGTCTGTTCGAACTTTCTTGCTGGTTTCGCGTTCAGGGGTTCTGGTTGACCTTTCCTGGCCCCCAAGTCTTGTGAGACTGTGGGGCACCCTGACCTATTTGGCCCCGCCCCCTCCCACCCCCACCCCCGGAAAATACTTGAAGTTGTTAAAGGACCTTAAGAACAACCTGTAGGTGACAACTGGGAGCTTGGCGAAGCTCCACGACTGGCAAGTGCGTGTCATCTACAACGGCCTTAAGAAGGCCAGATGCCGTGCCCCGGTCGCCGGAGTGTTTATGGCTTAAGCTTTAGGGTTTAGGGTTTAAGGTTTAGGGTTTAGGGTTTAGGGAACGGGCATAGGACTCCCCCAAAGGCCCCCCAACAGCACGAACTGGGTGGGGGGGGGGGCGCTTGGGATCCTTTAGTACATTTTTGTTCTTGCTTGGGGTAGCCCTAAACCCTAAACCCTAAACCGCAAGGGTTTGGGGGGCTTAGGGGAGGCTAGGATTGAAGGTTTCGGAGCTCGGGTGTAGGAGCTCAGTTGTGGGTTTACGAGGAGATGTAGTCCCAAACCCAACCCGGTCGCGCCCTAAACTTGCGCGGGAGGGGGGGAAGGGGGCCAACTGCACCCTATAAGGGTTAAGGGTTTAGGGTTCCTGGGTTAGGGGTTATTGTTCGATCTCCATGTCTTGAATGCTTTGGAACATTATCCCAATCTTGGTGAATATGGCCCCCCAAAGCCCGAGACCCCTGTGGGCCTGTTGGAACTAGAGAAACCCCCAACCCCAGTAAACCCTTTCGGCCCCTAAACCCTAAACATCTGTGTCTAAACCGCCTAAAACCTTAAACCCCTAAACGCGAAAACCCATGTGCTGCCCAGGTGTAGTGTGGAGTTTGAAGGGGGAACTGCAGCAGTTCCTTCCAGTCGCAGACGATCCAGACCTTTGGGGAAGTTCTAGATTTTGCGTGCTTAGGGCTCTATATAAACAGGGTTTAAGGTTTAGGGTCTAGGATTTCACCGCACCCCCCATGGCTTAATCACAGAGCCCTGGTTTTCAGTGGGCCCTAAACCCTAAACACTAAACCTCAAACCCTAGTTGGTGAAGGAAGTAGGGCTAGGGCCTAGGGTTTAGTAGTTGTTTTTCAGGGTTGGGGGTTCATGGTCCGGGGGCCTAGAACCTGTTTTGGGTTTTGGGTTTAGTAGGGAGCGCCGAGCCCGGGCCAAGTGGCAAGCCCGTTGCAATAGGGTTCAGTGGTGCTTTGCAGGGTTTAGGGGGGTTTAGGGTTGAGGGTTTAGGGTTTAGGGTTTAGGGGGGTTTAGGGTTTAGGGTTTAGGGTTTAGGGTTTAGGGTTTAGGGTTTAGGGGGGTTTAGGGTTCGGGGTTTAGGGTTTAGGGTTTAGGGTTTGGGAGTTCGGGTTCCGGAGGCTTAAAGGGGCATCGGCCTTTTCTTTTGGGTAGTGACATCGACTTGTCTTGGTCGGAAGGGATGTAAGGCTTCAGGATTTAAGGTGTGTTAAGGGCTTAGGGTTAAGTCGTTGCAGGCCAGAGGCAACAAGGGTCTGCCAAGGGCCAAGATGACCTGATGGCTCACCCTGACGCTAGCCTGCTAGCCACTGGACCCCATTTGCGGTAAGGGTTTAGGGTGTAGGGTTCAGGGTTTAGGGTTTAGGGTTTAGGCGGTTTAGGGTTGAGGAAAAACCTCAAGGACATTACAGCCCCTATGCAACAAAAAACAAAAAGACAAGAACCTCAAACGTCAGCCCGGCTGAGCCCAGGACTTCTACATCAGCAAATGGACCCCGCAGGCAGAACTGCTTCAGGATGATGCCGTGAAGGCCGGGGTGGGTTTCGAGTTTAGGGTTTGGGGTTTAGGGCTTAGGGCTTAGGGCTTAGGGCTTAGGGCTTAGGGCTTAGGGCTTAGGGCTTAGGGCTTAGGCTAAACCACCTCCCTCAGAACCCCAAGCTTGGCATGTTCCCCCTTATACTAACAGCTCCTTAATAGGGATTCTAGTACCCCCGATTATATTCCCTATTAAGGGCTGTTAGTATAAGGGGAACATCCCAACCTCAAACCCCTAGACCCTCAAACCCTCAAACCCTCAACCCCTAAACCGAGACCCTAGACCCGAAACCCAGGCTTGTTCAGTTTAGGGTTAACGGTTTGTGCTGCGAGGGTTGAGGGTTTACGCTTTAGGGTTTAGGGTCGGCGTGCATGTTGAGGTTGAGCAGGCCCCTTCAAGGTTTGCTCTTCGTTTTTGGGCTTCGAATCCTGAACCACAACTAAGCCCCAAAACGCCCTAAGCTCTACTAAAACCCCTGAAGCAACCCCAAAGCCAATAGGCCAAAGAACCTGGCCCGCCAGAACCCCCTCAACCCCAAGACGCCAAGACCCTAAACCCAAGGCTTGGGATGTTCTCCCTTATACTGACAGTCCCTAATCGGGATGATCGTGCCCCCTAGATTTGGAAACCTATGGAGCACTGTTAGTATAAGGGGGGGCCAAGGCCGTGATCACGCACTGCGGCTGGGGCGGAACGCTGGAGTGCATGACCGCTGGCAAGCCTATTGTTCCTTGGCCGGCCTTTTCCGTGCAGCAACAAAAACAAGTTTGGGGGTGATTCTTTTTAGGCCATGACATCAGAGCCGGGATGCAATTAAGGAATGCCCCCAAAGCGAGTAATTCTGGTCATCTTGAGCTCAACGACGACTTGCTTAAGAACCCCAAAGGAATAAAACAGAAAAAATAATCCCTATATTTCCCTTAAGAAGGGAGAATCGTTTTCTTTATTTTTACGCAACTACTAGTCAATGGTCAAGGTGGCCATTCCGTTCTTCGGAGATCAGCCGGAGAATGCACACCTTCTCGTCAAGGAGGGGGCAGCTGGCTGTTTAGGGTTTAGGGTTTAGGGTTTATTGTTTAGGGTTCAGGGTTTAGGGTTTAGGGTGAAACGAGTACCGAATATCCCTGAGTATTGAAACCAATCCGGTAACAGTTTCAGCAATTCACCCATCGGAAACGAACGCCGTGCTGGGACCCAGGGCATACAGACATAGGGTCGTGAAGGGCGGGGCTCCTCAGGGGGGTTCATGGGGGGTAGGCACCTAGGGAACCTTACAAAAGCCTAGGGAGCTAAACCCTAAACCCTAAACCCTAAACCCTAAACCCTAAACCGGCCTTAGAGAATCGTGGGGATTATTAGGGGACCTTGGGATGCATGTTAATAAGTACCCGCCCAGTGGTGCCCGCCTACCCTTTTTTTTGGTTCTGGGTTCCTTTCTAAAGTAACCAACCCCAGAAAGGGTGCCCTTCTTATGAATACTGGGCTACTCAAACCCTAAACCCTAAACTCGAAACCCTAAACCCTAAAACCTAACATAATATGGTTCCTGGGCATGGTACCAAAGAACTTTAAGCCGCCCCGCCGGGTCAGGCTGGCGTTGGCGAGCTGATCGGAAAGATTCCAAGAGGAGATGAGCCACTTAGTTGCTGAGTGAATACACTTTACACTTTTCGGGATAATCCCCAAAAGAACTGAAAGTGTACACTTTTTTGGGGTTTATGAACTCAGCAACTAAGGCAAAAGCCGAACCCATACAAGGAAGGCTGGATGACTGAGGAGACGGCCCCTCACACGCAAGTCTGCGGGGGTTCCGAACATAGGGGTACCCTTTTTTTTTTTTTGGGGGGGGGGGGTCCTTGAAGGGGATTCTAGTGTACTTGTGTACTTAGGCTATAAAATGGGTACCCCTAAACCCTAAACTCTAAACCCTAAACCCCCTTATTTCCGGAATCACGCAAGTTGGGTTTAGGGTTGAGGTACAGGGTTTTTTTGGAGGTGGATTGGGATGCTCGGAGGTTTGCAAAGGGCCCTTGGTTGTGGGCTTGCCGGAGACCCTAAACCCTAAACCCTAAACCCTAAACCCTAAACCCTAGCTGCCCCAACAGCACAGCAAGCCTTAGCAGCCGGCATGAAACTCCGGCAGGAAACCCTGATCCGACTTGAAAGGTAGGCCCTTAGAATTGCTTGTTCCTCTCTATAGGGTTTAGGGTTTAGGGTTTAGGGTTTAGGGTTTAGGGTTTAGGGTTTAGGGTTTGGGAGGATCATCCTTAGAGGTGTGTTTTCTTATAGGTTTTACAAACATAAGGGGGCCAAGAGAGCTTGCAAGCCCAAGCCCTCCACAGCATCAACCTGACTCCCGCTTGGCTACTCGTACAGGGACGGTTAAGCCCTAACATATACCAGGATCCAGGGTAGGTCCTTATTCCCTGCTTTTAGGGCTTAGGCTCCCTTCCAAGCCCCTTTTAAACCAGAAAGGGCACCCTTGTTATTCCTAGCTTACTCTTGGTTCTAGTATCTACTAGCAACCCCTGGTATGTTCTAAGCCTCATTATTTCCTCATAACCGGAAGAGCAAGGCCAAATGCTGATCACAGGGCTCCCTTCTGTTTCCTGGCCAGGAGGGGGGGGTGGGAGGGGGGGGGGGAGGGGGCTGGAGGGGGGGAGGGGGCTGGAGGGGGGGAGGCGGGATGGGGCTGGAGGGGCGGAGGGAAACGAGCCTGAAGAGCAAACTGCAGTAAGTTCGGAGACAGGTATGCCTCGCCGTCTCGAAGCTCCTCAACAACCCTTCCTACAAGAAAGCTACAGAGAGCTTCGGCCAAGACTTACCGCTCTTACAGGGCAGAGTGTTTCAGTGCACACACACATACATATATATATATATATATATATATATATATGCATGTATATGTACATATATATATATATGCATGTATATATACATCTATATATGCATGTATATATATATATATACATATGTATTTATTCACTTCTCCATCTGAATATAAATTACTTACTTCTCAAGATAAATGGAAATATAAACATAAATATAGAAATAGATATACATTTAATTTAAAGTTAAATTGAAATTTTGATAGAAATATAAATGTATACATAAATGCATATATATATATACACATACATACATAAGTACATATATAAAAATATAAACAAATATATATATATATATATATATGGCACCACCACCACTGCTTCCATGACTACTATCGGCTAGTCCGTCTTGCGTAGGGCCTCCTCCTCCCCTGAAAGCCTACAGTTACAGAGGAAAGCCGGACCACATGGGGTTGGGCACTACGAAGGCCTTTGGGGTTTAGGGTCTGGCTTAACTGGGGGGTTCTTAGTTTTTTTGGTTGAGGGTTCCCTCAGCCCTGAATTAACCCTGAACCATTACACCCTTTAACCCTGAACCCTACACCCTTCAACCCTGAACCCTTACACCCCAACCCTATAATCCTGAACCCTTTAACCCTGAACCCTTAAATCCGAAGCCCTTTAACCCTGAACCCCTAAAGCCTTAAACACTTATTGACCCTAAACCCTAAACCCTAAACCCCAAACCCCAAACCCTAAACCCTAAACCCTAAACCCTAAACCTAAACCCTAAACCCCTAAACCCTAAACCCAAGAAAGCCTGTCAGCCCAGGAAACTCATGCGCGCCTCTCGTGCCAGTGGAGGGGCCGAGGCGGCAGTTCAGCACATCGTCGCTCCTCTGCATTCGCTGCTTAGTTTTGGGGGGGTTTAGGGTTTAGGGATTCTGGGGTTTAGGGTTTAGGGTATAGGGTTAGTTTTTTTTTTTTTTTTGGGGGGGGGGGGGGGGGGGTGAAGGTATAAGGTTTGGGGGTTTAGGGTTGAAGGTTTGGGGTTTAGGGTTGAAGGTTTTGGGGGTTTAGGGCTGAACAAATTGGGGGTTTAGGGTTCAAGGTTTGGGGTTTAGGGGTGGGAGGTGGAAGGTTGCCAGTTTTGGGGGTTCAGGGTTTAAGGTTTGGGCTTTGCAGTTTAAGATTTTAGGGTTTGCATTCTAAACCCTAAACCCTAAACCCTAAACCCTAAACCCTAAACCCTAAACCCTAAACCCTAAACCCTAAACCCTAAACCCTAAACCCAATGAAGCCACCGGCTTGAGTGAGGCCAGCCTTCGGGGTTTTAGGGTTTACGGTTTAGGGTTTAGGGTTTAGGGTTTAGGGTTAGGGTTTAGGGTTTAGGGTTTAGGGTTTAGGGTTTAGGGTTTAGGGTTTAGGGTTTAGGGTTTAGGGTGCCCAGGATGCTCAACTCTTCAGCTGCAAACCACGCCCATTCCTTCGCGCTCAAGGTTTCGGCACCCTTCATCCCATGATCGCAAAACCCTTGGGGCTCAAGGGTTTAGGGTTTAGGGTTTAGGGTTTAGGGTTTAGGGTTTAGGGTTCAGGGTTTAGGGTTTAGGGTTCAGGGTTTAGGGTTTAGGGAGACTATAACCTCTAAACCGGGGTTAGCGCAGCCTCCCTGCTGCCCCCATGCAAGGAATGGGCTGCTCGCTTTGGCACCAAGCACTTGGCGTCGGAGTACCTCCGGCACGGTGCCTCGGACCCAGCGCCCTAACCTTAAGGAGGGTTTAGGGTTTAGGGTTTAGGGTTTAGGGTTTAGGGTTTAATGCTGGCAATCATCAAGTCCGGTTTCAAAAGGGTTTAGGGTTTAGGGTTTAGGGTTTAGGGTTTAGGGTTTAGGGTTTAGGGTTTAGGGTTTAGGGGTCTAAGGAGGGACCCCTAGAAGGGACCCTTCATCTCATTCCCTTCTATACCACCTATAGAATCCTTGTATACACCTTATGTAGTCCCTAGACCTAAGCAGCCCCTAAAGCCCCTTGTAAGGGTCCCTCCTCTCGTCCCTTGATGATTTACTTGGGTTGTTTACAGGGGTTCCTGTATCGTAGCTTCAGGGTTCTAGGCTCTTCGTGTTTTTCGTTACGGTTTGGGTTCCCTTAGAGGCCCCTCTAGACCAACAAGGGAACAAGGGTACCCTGTTCATTCCTCGGCTACTCTTGGGTCTACGTGCTTATGAAGCAGAGCGCGGGCGGGCACGTATTCAGGGAGTTCCTCCTGTATCTTAGGGGCCAAATGAACCCTCACAGGGTTTCTAGTTCATAATCAGGAATTCTAGCAGTATAGGGTATACTTTTGCGGTTCATGTATTTGCCCTTTAAACCGCCATACTGGCCACCAGTCGGGTGAACCTGCAATAGTGCTGTAAAGGCCCGTGGCGTGAAGGATTTAGGGTTTCGGGTTTCGTGTTTAGGGCCTAGAAGTATTCTGATACAGAACCGAGGAATCCCAATTGAACCCAGGACTCAGTTTAGGGTTTATAGGGGGAATCCCGATACAAGAAAGGGAGGGACCACGTCCAACCGCTAAAATTCCGTGCCTCATGCGCCGGCTTTGTGTCAGTTTCAGAGGTGCGCGCGAAGGAAAGGGCTCCACCCTCAAAGCTTAACGCCCCTAACTTGTGAGCACCCGAAACCGCAAACCTCTAAACCCTTGTGACCCTATGAGGCTTCGGGGAGGGCTTGCAACACACGAAACCCTACAGAATCTTGATCAGCTGAGCTTCCCACCAATCCGACACCCTAAACCCTAAACCCTAAACCCTAAACCCTAAACCCTAAACCCTAAACCCTAAACCCTGCAAGACAAGCAGGCACCGGGTCCAACCCCTACAACGGCGTCATGGTCGGCATTCTTGGCTTGGTTGCTTGCGCCGGCCTGCTGGTGTACAGCCAGGCTCTTCGCAAGTAGGCCGTGGGTGCCTGAAGGGCCTAGGGTTTAGGGTTTAGGGTTTAGGGTTTAGGGTTAGGGTTTTAGGGGCCCACTTGCCAGAAGTGCCACAAGGGTTTTGGGGCTTAAGCGCCCCTAAGCCCTGACTTTAAGCCCTTAGAAGCTCCCCCTTTGCTGCTCCAAGATGCTCAAAGCTCAAAAGGCTCTGCCATCTAAGCTGCATGGTTTTTCGGGTGGTGCCCTCCACGGGCTTTCGACATGGTTCAGGGTTGAAGCAGCTGGTATTGACAAGCAGAAGTTCACGGGTTAGGCTCTTGAGTTTCGGGTTCTGGCGTTTAGGGCTGAGAATCTTTGGGTCCGCCGGCCTCTATAGACTAAGCGTGGGCCTCAGTCCTGCCCTGAGGCAGCTTCCCAAATTAAGTCCTGTAAGCCTGTCCCTAAAGCGAAGACTTTGAGCATGGCTTCGGAGCTCACGCGCGCTCAAGGCTCCGCAAATTTAAGCTCGTCATGCTGAGCAGCTAGGGGCCGAGGGTCCGACTGGGGGGTTGAGGGTGTAGGGTTTAGGGTTGAGGGTTCAGGGTTTTAGGGTTTAGGGTTAAGGGTTTAGGGTTGGGGATTCGAGCCCTAAACCCTAAACCCCACTTGCAGGGGCTGGATCCCTTCTCAACCCGGCGAGTCTACTGAGAAAGGGTACACTGATTTTGTTGGGTTACCAGAAAACCCGGACACCGCAGTCGAGCAGGCAACCTTTAACTAACAAAAAAGATTCACAAAACACAATCACAAAAAATGTGCATACATATGTATATCTATATCTATATATATATATGTGTGTGTGTGTATGTTATATGGTATAGCATCCGAAGGTGTAACTGCTACGGCTTTCACTAGGGATTTTGGGTGGTCTACGGCACGCTTCCCGGACGCTGCCCTACTTGCAAACACGTCTACGAATTCTTCCCAAGAACTATCAAGCTTCCTCAGTGTTGCAAGCCCTGAGCAAGGACTTCAGAAGTGAGGGTTTAGGGTTTAGGGTTTAGGGTTTAGGGTTTAGGGTTTAGGGTTTAGGGTTTAGGGTTTAGGGTTTAGGGTTCACTTCTGCGTCAAAGTTGGGCCCCTGGGCGCTATCGTTTCGACATCCGCCGGTCGTCTGCTGTAGAGCGTTTCAGCAGGCAGCATCCACCTCGCAATGCGGTCAAAAGCTGGCTGCTGCAGGGTTTCGGAGTTTAGGGTTTATAGGGTTTAGGGCTTAGAGTTTAGGGTTTAGGGTTGTGCCCATAGCCTGCAATGTCAAGTCCCTCAACCCTCAGCTCGCGGTGGCCTCATGAAGTCCCTTCACCCTGAGATTCCCTAAAGTAAAAGCAGCCGCCAAGCCCCACACAATTCGGAAATTGCTGGATGAGAGAAAAAACTCAGGTGGTTGTAATTCTGCCTAAACCCACAGACCAGACCCTACTACAGACCCCCAAACAGTAGGATCCCCTTATAATAAGGACCCCAATAAGGTACTACTAATTTCAGAAACTCCCAAAACGCCTTCCGCAGCTTGCTAAGCCTTCTTTGGTGTCCCGTGCCAGGACTCGGTGTCTCAGTGGGCCGAACTTGCGGAAGAGGGTTTAGGATGTAGGCCTTAGGTGACAGCCCGAAACCTTAATCCCTAGACCATTTTCGGGCTTTAGGGCCTCTGGGGCATAGCTTTGTCATAGTGGGGTTACATTTTACATTTTTAAGGGTACTTAAACTCAATAAGGAATAAAATTTTAAATTGTTATTCCTATCGCAACCATGAACCATAGGGGCTTTCTTGTTGAGGGTTTAGGGGTTACTTCGGGGCTTGGCCAACGTCGCTTACTTCGACCCTGCCTCGTTCCCCGCCCCGCCACAAAAACAGGGGGTTCCTTTACGACTTAAAAAATACTTACGTAAAGGAACACAAAAATCGATCTCTTTTTTTGGGTTTTTGTGCCCAAACTCAGCACCCCTCGAGCAAAGAAAATGCAAGTCTCAGCCCCCGCAAAGTCTTGAACCTACTCTGTCTGCAGCTTGCATGCAGGGAGTTGGAGGCATGCTTCTCGCTCACGACGTGCATGCCTCAGAATACGATTTAGGGCTTAGGGTTTAGGGCCCCTAAACCCTAAACCCTAAAAAAGGCTTAGGGCTGAGGGTGTCGGGTGTGGGGGCTGAAGCGCTTGTTTGGGGCCTCTGAGTGTTGGGGAAAGAATGTGTCAATCTCGGGTTCTTCAGAACCGGGTTTTGTAGGGGTTTTGGGGTTTTGAGGTGTAGGGGTTTCGGGATTTAGGGGTTTAGGGCTTTGGGGTTTTGGGTTAGGGCTTTGGGGTTTTGGGTTTCGGGGTGAGGGTTCAGTTTGCTTTTAGGGTTTGGGGTGTAGGGGTTTAGTGGTTTAGGGGTTTAGGGGTTTAGGGGGTTCAGGGGGTTTAGGAGTTTAGGGGTTTAGGGGTCGGGTTCATGTGGTCCCCAAGGTAGTCTCGAAGTTGAGTGGGCGAGACCAACCTCACCACGCAGCGCTTGCGCTGGCCAGAGTAGACTTTGTTCCCTTTGTAAAGGGTTTCGGTTCCTGGATAAGCCCCTTGAAACTAAAACGAGCACCCTTTTCATTGCCGAGCTACTCTTGGGTCTAGTATTTCTCTATGACAAGCTATTCTGCCAGAAGCTTCTGCAGGCAGACAGCCCCCAAACCTCGTTCAGGGTTCAGGGCACAGGTTTGAGGGCGTAGGAAGGATTATCCCCTAATTCATGATGAGGACCTGCCCCCCGTTCTTGGGTTAAGGGCATGCCGGATACATGTTCCTTAGCTAGGGGGCAGCCCTAAACCTTGAGATTTTCCCCCTTATATGTAACAGTCCTGAATCGGGATTCTACTAGGGGGTATTACGATAATCCCTATTAAATAGGACTGCTAGGAGAAGGGGGAACATCCCAACCTAATCGCGCGGCGCTTCCTCCATCCGAGGTCTTCTGCCTGGTCAACCGAGCTCGTGGCACCGCCCTGGTGTCGCCAAGTGAGGCCATCCGGTCCCACAAGCCCTCCCACCATCTTCATTTGAAGCCCCCCCTGCGTTTCCAGAACAAGATTTCACCGAAGTTTCCCAAGCTCTAAACCCCAAACCCAGGGGGGAGGGGTGCAGCTTGGCGACACATGCGGAAAGCCCGGAAGCCCACGAACTCCCTGAGCCCCTCCTGCAGGTCATGAAGGCGATTCACTCTTGCCCAGCGCCAAGCATTAGGGTCTCTGAAGTTAGGGGTGTAGGGTAGGCAAAAAGCCCGTGGCAAAAAAAATCAGGTTTAGGGTTTTAAACTCAAAGAGTTTTTGGGTGGCTCAGGCTCAGGTTTGGGGCTTCAGGGTTTAGGGTTGAGGGTCGGCCAACGACCTACTCATAGCCACGGTGCCTGAGCGCAAGCCCGAAGAAACCCAAAGCCCTGAACCCAAAGTCAAGCCTAATGCATACTTGCAGTTGTACGGCACAGAATGGAAAAAATCTGCTGGCCCCCTTTTCGAGTTGATCTCAATGCGGTTTCAAGGACATGCTCGTGTGGACGTTTGCGCACGAACCTAAGGGCCCATGTACCTACATAGTATATACTTGTACCTTAAAGGGGTTTAGGGATTACCGTTTAGGGTTCAGGGTTTAGGGGCCCAAGAATATGCTCTGTAGGCACATGGACCCTTAGGGCTAGAACCCTTTGCGGGTTCAGCTTAGGGCTTCGGGTTGAGGGTGTAAGTCCCTAAACCCTGAAGCCTAAACACCCCAAGCGTAGGGTTTTTTTGGGGTGGCTTGGTCGGCTCTTTCACCCCTAAACCCTAAACCCTAAACCCTAAACCCCAAACCCTAAACCCTAAACCCCTCTGATACCAGGCTGCAAGTCTGGAGGGCCTCTTCGCATGCGGAAGCTGGGGTCTGTTGGGGCCTTCGCCTGCAGCTGAGCTTCTGGGGTTTTCAGGTTTTTGAGGCTGGAGGGTTGGGTTTAGGGTTTAGGGTTTAGGGTTTAGGGTTTAGGGTTTAGGGTTTAGGGTTGTTTAGGGTTTAGGGTTTAGGGGTTAGGTTTAGGGTTTAGGGTTTGGGGTTTGGGGTTTAGGGTTTAGGGTTTGGGTTTGGGGTTTGGGGTTTGGGGTTTAGGGTTTAGGGTTTCGGGTTTAGGGTTTAGGGTTTAGGGTTTAGGGTTGAGGAGGGTTCAGGGCTCGGGGACCTCAGGAGGTTGACATGCTGGAAGGGTGTCGGGTTTGGGGCCTTTGCGGGTCTTCGGGGTTTCATGGCTGTTCCTCGGCCCAAGGACATGAAGCCCTCAGAATGCTGGGAATGGGTTTAGGGTTTAGGGTTTAGGGTTTAGGGTTAGGGTTTAGGGTTTAGGGTTTAGGGTTTAGGGTTTAGGGTTTAGGGTTTAGGGTTTAGGGTTTAGGGTTTAGGGTTTAGGGCCAGAAGCGTTGGACACCCAAATGCTCTAGGGTCTCGGTCTAAGCACGCAGGTACTGCCGAGACCGAACAAGGTCTAAAGACTAAAATCCCAAACTCCTTTGTCATAGTGGGATAACATTTTTCGCTTTTAAGGGCACTTAAAACTCAGTAAGGAATGAAAAAGTTAACTTTTCAATACTATCTCAAACATGAACTAGAAACCCCGTAGCTCCGTAGCTCCTCATCCTCTTCGCATGGAGATTCTGGGGGGGGGGGGGGGCTGTTCTTCTATTAGTTAGAGGTTCAGGGTACCTAGAACCCAAGTTATGTCAGCTGTACTTATACGCCCCCTAAGTCTGTTAAGTAGGTTACAAGCAGAAGTAACCATGAACCTCCAAGTAGTTGGGGCCTGCAAGCTCCTGATTCTGTCACGCCTTGCTGGTTCCTTCTCGGCTACTTGCAGGTTCATGCGTACATAGAACCCCAGTTATCAGTCTACTTAGGGGGACTTAGGGGGCTTATTAAGTGCATTGATACTTGGTGTTATAAGTACCCTGAACCTCCAAGAAATCTTTTTGTATACGGGGAGCCCCCCCCCCCCCATCATAA